ACGTGGATCCCTCGAAGATCAAGGCAATAGAGAATTGGACGATTCCAAGAACCCCTACAGAGATCCGGCAATTTTTAGGACTCGCCGGGTATTACCGAAGGTTCATACAAAATTTTTCCAAGATTGCCAAGCCACTCACCACACTAACTCAGAAGAATGTGACCTTCGACTGGGGAGAAAAACAAGATGCCGTTTCAAACGCTAAAACGAGCATTATGTAGTGCGCCCATCCTAACCCTGCCAGAAGGGACGGAGGACTTCGTGGTCTATTGTGATGCATCAAACCAAGGACTCGGGTGTGTCCTGATGCAACGAGGGAAGGTCATCGCCTATGCCTCAAGACAACTAAAGACGCATGAAGTGAACTACACAACGCACGATCTTGAGCTAGGAGCAGTCGTCTTCGCTCTAAAGATATGGAGACACTACCTCTACGGCACGAAATGTACGATCTTCACTGACCATAAAAGCCTTCAACATATCCTCAACCAGAAAGAACTCAACATGAGACAAAGACGGTGGGTAGAACTACTAAGTGATTACGAATGCGAAATTCGATATCACCCCGGAAAGGCTAATGTAGTGGCTGATGCACTCAGTCGGAAGGAATACTCAGGTCGCCGAGTGAAGTCCCTAACTATGACGATCCATTCACACCTGTCCACGCAAATCAAGGAAGCCCAAATAGAAGCCTTGAAATCCGAAAATGTGGCAGGAGAAGCCCTAAGAGGAATGGATAAGAACCTTGAAACCAAGAACGACGGAGTTCGTTATTTCATGGATCGAATATGGACACCAAAGTTTGGTGGATTCAGAGAAATCGTCATGGACGAAGCCCATAAAACACGATACTCCATACATCCCGGCTCCGACAAGATGTATCTCGACCTCAAGAAGTTGTACTGGTGGCCGAACATGAAAGCCGAAATTGCTACCTACGTGAGTAAATGTCTGACGTGCGCTAAGGTCAAAATAGAATACCAAAAGCCTTCGGGTTTATTACAACAACCAGAAATACCCGAATGGAAGTGGGAGCGGATAACTATGGATTTCATAACCAAGTTACCCAAAACGACAAGCGGACTCGACACCATTTGGGTAATTGTCGACAGGTTAACTAAATCAGCACATTTCCTACCGATCAAAGAGACGGATAAATTGGAGAAGTTAACAAGGACATACCTCAGAGAAATTGTACGACTGCATGGTGTGCCCGTATCCATTATCTCGGACCGAGATAGTAGATTCACCTCAAGGTTCTGGCAGTCGCTACAAAAAGCTTTGGGGACAAGACTAGACATGAGTACCGCTTATCACCCTCAAACCGACGGCCAGAGCGAGAGAACCATACAAACCCTAGAAGACATGCTGAGAGCTTGCGTAATCGATTTTGGCAAAGCATGGGACACACATCTACCCTTGGTCGAGTTCTCGTACAACAATAGCTACCACACCAGTATCAAAGCTGCCCCGTTCGAAGCCCTCTATGGCCGCAAGTGTAGGTCACCTTTATGCTGGGCCGAAGTGGGGGACACACAACTAGCAAAAGGACAAGCAACTGACAACACACTTACTGGGCCAGAAATCATACGGGAAACTACGGAGAAGATTGTTCAAATCCGAGAACGTCTAAAAGCATCAAGGGATAGACAAAAGAGTTATGCAGATAAGAGACGAAAACCCTTGGAATTCCAAGTTGGAGACCGTGTCCTACTAAAACTCTCGCCTTGGAAAGGATTGATACGCTTCGGAAAACGTGGGAAACTGAACCCCAGATACATCGGACCATTCGAGATCCTTGCCAGGATCGGTCCAGTGGCTTACAAACTTAGACTACCTCAGGAACTCCACAACGTACACCCTACCTTTCACGTATCAAACCTAAAGAAGTGCTTATCCGACGAGACCCTTGTCGTCCCTCTAGACGAAATTACAATAAATGAAAACCTCCATTTTGTAGAGGAACCAGTAGAGATTATGGACCGGGAAGTCAAAAGAACTAAACAAAGCCGCATACCTATCGTAAAGGTCCGCTGGAACGCCAAGCGAGGACCTGAATACACCTGGGAACGAGAGGATCAAATGAAACAAAAGTACCCGCATCTTTTTCCTAATCTGTAAACTCTATCTTAGATTAAATTTCGGGACGAAATTCCCTTAACAGGGGGATGATGTGACAACCCTATATTTTCCAAAAGCATTGTAACGCTCAAAAGTCAAATACAACTAAATTAACCTTGAAAATAAAGTATTCAAATATCTAAGTTGGGATGCATCAAATACTAGATAACGTGTCAAGGTTTCCGAAAACATAAGAACGCTCAAAATCGGGTTATATTGAAGAAATTATAACCACTCGTATAATTACGACACGCCATTAAAACATTATTTGACGTAAAAAGTAAAATCTCAATAATGTGCATTTTAGCCTTAAGTATCTAAACAAAATCGTAGATCTCGTTAAAAGGTGAGCGTGCATAAAAAGATCGCCCAAATTGGACCTCGTATGAAGAAGTTACGAATTTTCGAAGTTTCGTAACAGTAGTAGAGGGCTAAAAACTCGAATTTAAGATCGAGTGTAAATTAGCTAACGCAATCCAAATGAGAGTTGAAGATCTCCGCAATAGGAACAAATGGATGAGAAGACAAACAAAAACCGACGTCGAATAAAGAACCTATGAGTTTTTAAACGAACTTTAGGAGGCCCGGCCTATTAAAAATATATCATTAAAAATAAAGACAAAACTAGCCGACGGAGTCTAAATGAAAGTTGTAGAGCATAATCTCACCTACGCGTGGATATAAAGAACACGAAAAACGGAGCTCGTACGCGAAAGTTACGGAATTTAGAAGAGGACAGGGTGGATTACGCCCCGCGTTCTCTGGGAGTACGCCCCGCGTACTAGACCCAGAGTCGAGTCCCATCGGCCCGCCCAAGCTACGCTTAGCTAGCCAGGAGTCGTAAGCCATGACGCATTGTTACGCCCCGCGTAACCGAAGTACGCCCCGCGTACTGACTACGCCCCGCGTACTTCGGAGGTACGCGCCGCGTACGAGGGTTTCCAGCCCTATAAATAGAAGGCATAAGCTCGAGTTTTTGCACACAAATCACAATCCCTCAGCATTCTCTCATACTTCTAAGCTCCAGAGACCCTCCCCTCACCTCGGTTTCCGCACTCGAGCCCCCGACGAAAGATTTACGTTGCAGAGATCCCCGAAGAGCCCGACGACGCAACTATCCGCGATCGAAGTTCTACTTAACTCTAGTCTCTCTCTTCAAACTTAACGAGTGAGTTCATACCCCTACTTTTCAATTCTTTTTCATGTTTTAGGGGGGGGGAATACAAGTACATTACACGTTAAAGTATCGTTTTATAAACATAAATGAAATTTCTATCTTCGAATATCGATACAAACATCTTATGTATACAAGAGCGATTATGTCACTAAGTTATTTCTACTAAATGGAACATACTATCTGAAAAACTATAATGGGTATAGTTAACAAGTCAGTCCTACATTTTACATATACATCTTGAAAAACGAAACACTTTCAAAAGAAGTAAGGTCATTTCATTGTAAATCTACTTATACTAGGCAATGTGAGATATTCAAACTTCAACGTACATTTTTGTATGCATTTCAAGTCCTGTATTATATACCATAATCTCTTGGAGGGAGAGCGTGATACTTGTGTATAGATCTATACGGGATTGACAATCCCGCACCTAAACTACTAGCTATAGTTAGACCGGCAGGTCTGGGGTGACAAATGTCATAACACTGCAACACCTGAAGAATGTTGTTACAGGCCGTCAGTGTCAATAGTATGGTTATAAAACTCACATAAAAAGTATAAAACAAGATTGATTTACGAGATTCATATGTGCATTGCAGTTTTCTACATTATTTTTCATACAAAGTTGTTTTTATCATTCGAGTATAAAAGATACTAACACATTCCAACTTTGGAAACTTTTGAATCATCTTACAAGAAAATATTGGACTTTCTAAAAACCTCGTTTATCAAATTACTACCAAAAAGGATATACTTTTCAACTCGAAACACTCATGAACTCACCAACTTAATTTTTGACACTTTTCAAAACCACTTGTATTTCTCAGGGAATCAGTGATACAGGTAACTACCAGCTTTTGGGAGAAGGAACACAAAGGATGTTTTTATTATTGAACATTTATCATCATATTGTAATATTCTTTTGATAACATGTATAGCGCAACAATATACCTTTTCATTTTATATATATGATGGTTGTGTTACTTTCTTTACAATATTCAATTGTTGTGATACTACGTGAAGTCATCCACCCCCGAATGTTTCCGCCATTCTGGTTTGGGGGTGTGACAATACGCGACCATAGTCGCGACCTGACTCGCCGAGTCTATCCATGGACTCGCCGAGTCACCCTCCAAAACTTACACTTTTAGCCCTCCAACTCTACTCTTGAAATTCCGGGATGTTACAGAAGTAGTTATAAATGAGACTTTTAAGTTGTTAAATATGTCCTTTTGCAGCGTTGCTGGATTCTTTTAGCATCATTTTGGGAAGGAGGTATTTGTATATGTGATTTGCACACCATGTGGTGCTTGCATCAAGAGAAATGTTATCTTCTACATTGTTGGAACTGGTGATACCTGACACTACTTTTGCATTCCATGCTATAATGATTCCCGTGGAGACACTATCAATGTTGATGGAACTAATATTTTGAAAGCTAGATTTGAGAAAAAGAAAAATGATGAGGAGACTGAAGAATGGGTATGTTGTGTACCCTTATATATATATATATATATATATATATATATATATTCTAATTTATTGTGGGGTCCCATCTGCACTGCAGTGGGTTAAATGTGACAGGTGTGAAGCCTGGCAGCATCAAATATGTGCGCTATTTAATGGTCGAAGAAACGATGGGGGACAAGTAGATTATACTTGTCCAAATTTTTATATGGAAGAAGTTGAAAGAGGAAAGCGGATGCCTCTACCATGGAGTGCTATGCTTGGAGCAAAAGATTTACCAAAAACAGAAACCATACATATAGAGCAGGTTGTTTGGAAAACTGAAGCAGGAGAGACTAGAGCGCGCAAGGTTCTATGGGAAAACTTATGATAAGGTGAATGGTGATGTTATAATCCGAAAAACATAAACCATGACATTATTTAAGACAACTCCATACCATACATTGTGAATGAGAAAAGTATGTATCTTACATTTTCTTTATTATAAGGCTCCTGGAGCAGAAGCACTTGTCAGAGTTGTCTCTTCTGTGGACGAGAAGTTAGAAGTCAAGCAACGATTTCTTGAGATCTTTCAAGAGGAAAATTACCCTGTGGAGTTTGGGTATAAACCTAAGGTATTTCAACTGCAAGCAACGTACCATTTTCGTTGATTTGTTTATTATAGCATCTCTTCCTAAAATCTACTAAAATTCCAAACAGCTATCATTGGATGGATTTTTCAAAGTTTAGTGACTCAATAAGAAAAAGAAAATAAAAAGTTCAAATTACGCAATCCATTATCTTGTGGTTCTGGTATGTATGTGAATCCCTAAACTAGGCTTTTCTTGTTTTAGGTAGTTCTGTTGTTTCGGAAAATTGAAGGTGTAGAAGTGTGTCTATTTGGTATGTATGTTCAAGAATTTGGAGCAGAGTGTCCTCAGCCAAACCATCAGCATGCTTATCTTTCTTATCTGGATTCAGTTAAGTACTTCAGGCTTGATATTAAGGCTGTGACAGGGGAGGCTCATCGTACATTTGTATA